TTTTCTTGCTATCGATATTACTCATATATATTATAGATATGAAGAGAAACTGGGTTTTTATGAATCTCCTGAGATAACATTGTTTGGGGGACTTTCATTTCGTATGAATTTGCATGAAGAAGAAATTTGTAGGTCGATCTCACCAGAAGAGGTCGGTTGAGTCCCATTGTACTTCAGCCGTTTGGCTTTTATACGACGTTCAGGTTGACACAATCCAGTTTCAGGTGAAAACTGGCTGGGCTTTTGTCCATCATATGATGGGTATCATTAAACATTGTTCAAAAAAGCCTTCACACTTTCTTCTGCTATGCCATCTTTTAGAGAGAAATATGACCCATTATCGAGATCCGGCTGTTGGTGAGATATGCCGACCTATTCAGCAAAGATTGGGAGTACACAAAATGCTTATGAGGGAAGCTGAGTCCAGCACAAACTCGTGCAAAAGGAGCAGGACCAACATGAAAGATAATTATACAAACCACTCCATATCTATCTAGGTTTTTAATTTAATGTTGCTTAATTGAGTCTATATAAGAGATAAAATAGAGCCAGATGGTCTTCTTGCCCTGGTGTTAACAGGAAACTTTTATAGGAATAAGAGACTGCTCTGATGATGTCTATTAAATGATGGACGAATCTCTTCCTTATGCCCTTTCATACGAAAAGAAAGTTCCTTTAACAATTATATATATTATCCATAAATGATTACGGATATTTTAGATTGCTCCGTCTGCATTTGAGAGGATTATATAATTAGAGTGTATATTTTATTATACTTTTGTGTGTGATAGACATGCATAAATTACAATGCTAGAAAAAACCCCTAAAAGAATGATGAGATCTCGATTTTTAGAAAAGACTATTATACTTTTCATCACAATTTACTGGTCGCTTTTTAATTTTTTCTTTTTTATTGTAAACTCAGGCCTCAGAGTTGTCTGCCTTGGCAGCTGCAGATCGCGCTAATGCCGAAGTAATGCAACTTCGTGAGCGGATCGGTCTCCTGACAGACGATTTAGATGCCAGCCAACGGTCAGTTGCCATTGAGAAGATGAAGTGCTCTGCCGCAGTAAACAAGATTAGCCAGGTAAGTACAGTGCTAACTGGCGAATCGGATCTAATATTATTTATCGTTTGAACGTAGCACTCTGAATACCTGTCTTAACAAATTCATAAAAATAAGTTTATCCTTCTATTTCCCACAATTTTTTACAGGCTGCAAAGCACGAAGAATTCAAAAATATTTTTTCTAGCTTATTCCTACTTTAATTTTAAGAAAATATTGAATAATTTCTGTCGATATCATGAAAAGAAAAGTGGCAAGATTAGTGAGATTTTCATATTTATTTGTAAAGATCTAACAAAGGCAATTTATATTCATTTTTGTATGACAATACTTCAAATGTTCTGAAATTAGGCCATCGGATCTATAAAAGAAACCTATTTTCTTTATTTTTTTTTCTTTACAAATTATTTTCTTTTCTTATATCTAGACACCTAATATGAAGCTT